GAGGTAGGCGATCTTTTGCACCAACGAACAGAAAACTGATGGCGAAAAATAGCCAATGAAAACCTCCCAAAAAAAAGAATTTGCCTAAAAACGGAACTTCGTGGTTCTGCGCAGATACACCAGTCAGACACGACATCTCTAGGTGGAAAAAAACTCGCTGAAAGCGAATTTTAGCAATCAACACAACTTGACGTAGAGACATGATTGGCTAAAAAATACAACGGTTTTTGATACATCGGAAAATCAACCAAAAATCGGAGACTGGGCGAAACGCTCAAGGTCGCAGAGGTATAGGGAATCCCATAGCGAAAGCAACGGAACGATTGTAATATCATGGGGAACTCCGTTCCCATGACAATAAAAAAATCGGCATCTATTTCAAACTTCTCGCAAAGACTCAAACGAACGGAACAAAGCGTTCCATCGCTTTGGATAGTCTGTACCAAAGGAGCATACCTTCTATTCACCTACCTTACCCTTCTAACAGAACAAGATTCTGCATTTCCCGCTTAGTTTAATTTTCCGCTAAATTTGAAATTCCCACCATTTTTTTAGGCGGGAATTTGAAATGTTGCCCCCTTTTTTAAGTTTCCTGGTCTTCGCTTATATAAAAAAAAAAAAATCAGGTCCTATTTTCAAAATCTGATTAGAGCGGGCTCATCTAGGACCTATCGCCTGTTGATAACCACAGAAATCATGGAAATTTGCCTAGTAGAACGCTCAAACGAGCTATGACAAGAAATATAAATTTACATTGTTTAAATGGAAAATTCGCAACTTTACCATGTAATATAAAAAAAAACCTGGGTCATATTTTGAAAATCTGAATAAAGCGGGCTCATCTAGAGATAATTGCCCGTCGATAGCCGCAAAAATCATGAAAATCGGTCCGGTAGCACGCTGGAACTTACGGCAATTAAGACGCGGAATGCCGCCGCGGAATCATATGCGGCGGACGCAAGGGAAATCTGTTACACGCGTTTCAATGGGAGCGGCAACTAAGGAGCGGAGTGACACCGCAGAGTCCGCGGCGTCACGGCGCGGCGATCTGTCGAGAACAGATCGGAGCGGAATCCCTCGGAGATTCCGCCTCGTCCGTCGAGGTTTTCGATGATTTTCCATGTCTACTTGCCGAAACGTGGATCGCGGTGGCAACACCATGGAAAATTGTGGGCCATCGTGAATTATTGGATTCATGAAATAAAAATACGTTTGTAGCACGATATCAACGCATGGCATTCCTACCTCGTGCCAGATGCAAATAATACGACACAAGTAGGTAAAAGAAATATGACACCTTTTTTCCAGGAGATAAATCTGTAAAAACAAAACGAACTAACTATTTTAGAGCTTTTCGGCACTTAAACAATTTATTTAGACGTTGCTATATCTATAGAGAAACCTAATCGACCAATTTGTTTTGAACATTATGCTTGAACCCTGGTAAAAATTGGCAATAGGAACTGCGTTTCAAAATACCATAGGAGTTCTTATAGCCGACTAAAGAAGGCAATTTGAAAATCATATAGCTGGCTGCAGAAAGCGGAGCAAATCATATAGCCGGGCTATACGGAGCTATAAAGAAGTATATAGTCGGGCCAAGTTCCTATCGCCGGGCTTTACAGTTTATCGCCATTGGTCATAAAAGGCTAGAAAAAATTGTGTAGAAATTCGTGTGTTTTTGAAATCATTAAGTTTGACACGGAACTACCTTAATATTTACAAAACGCAAATCACATTTTCCTTTAAAACATATATTTTTTTTTTCATCAATCGAAATGAGAATTATCCATACAGAGTATGCAAACATTTCAAAATCACGAGTTAAAATTTAGATAAATGTAAATATTAGAGCCTAACACAAAGCGGAGCGGCAACGCACTGGCGCCTACAAACCTAACAGGGATACTTCACGCATTGCGCAATGCGTGAAGTACCTGTTACGTTTGTAGGCGCCAATGCGCATTTCGCGCTCTCTGCCCGCCTGCCGCGCGGCAGCGTGACACGGCGTCTGAAGCAACTATTTCACACCAGAGGTATTGCACAGTATCATAAGCTATTGAAGGCGCTCCAACGTATTAAGAATGACAGGCATCCTTCAAAAGTACGGAGCTTTCCTCGCAAAATAAATCAAGATACTACGGCACAAAAAGAGAGCGGTAGTCCAAAAACTAACCAAGTCCTAGTATCCGTATTTAGTAACGTTTAGCATAAACTTAATCGTCTGGCTGTTGCTTAATCGCCATCGGCTATAAAAGGCTACAAGAAATTTTACAACCGGCTACAGAAGCTATTGGAAATCTTACAGCCGGCTTTGGGTCTATAGTATTTTGGAACACACATTCTACTGCCAATTTTTATCAGGGAAAGTAAAAAAAATGCGTGTCTTTGCTTGCAATGTTGCAATGTTGCAACTCTCTGCTCACGTTTCATTCGTTAATTTGAAACTGTTGATGGGAGGTTTATCTTGGACTTTTTGTAAACATTTTTTTGCTCATTCAATAATACTTTTAGAAATTTTACAAACGGATATATTGGTTGGTATTCTCATAAAAAATATTGGGGATTATGAAACGTGGTGAGTGTTCATTGTACTTTGTAGCAAGGCAAAACACACACTCGCGAGTTATCATCGGATACTGATTTATGACGAGACTGCCGACGGACACGACGGAATTTTGGAGGCGATTCCGCTGCTTAGTTGCCGGGCACGGCGGAGCGGAAACTTACTCGACGCCTCGCTCGCTCGGGTCGTCCGCCGCGTACGATTCCGCGGCGGCATTCCGCGTCTTAATGGACCACTAGACAAGGTACGAATTTAAGCATTCTGATACATGTTTTTTAACCAAAATTTCACGTAGAACACGATGCGCACGACAAAAATTATCGAAATCAACTCCTTACGAAGATATTTAATGATTCCTGATGCGTGAATTCAAACCACCCGCTCAATAAAACTCAATGCTCTACGTGATTCACATCGCGCGTTGAATATTATCGTGACAGTCTCTGCGATATGAAAATCTGGCAACCACAATTTTGACGCTTTGGCTCGGCTAGAGAAAATTGCTTATCATTTGAACAACACATGGTGGGAAATGAACAGTGCTCGATTGAGAGGCTTGCTGAAACTGTTGTAGTGCGCGCTTTGACTCACGTAGAGCTTTGAGTTTCTTGTGAGCGGGCAGTTCAAATTCCTCCTAACCAATGTGAAATAAAAACGTTAATATCTTCGTTAGGAGTTGGTTTCCGTAATTTTCGTTCGGTGAATCGTTTTCTACGTGAAATTCTGGTTAAGAAACATTATCAGATCGCTTAAATTCGTACCTTGTCTAGCGTTGTCTTTCTTGTGAGGGGGCAGTTCCAAATCCGCGTAACCAATGTGAAATAAAAAGGTTATTATCTTCGTCAGGAGTTAGTTTCAGTAATTTTCGTTGCGCGAATTGTGTTCTACGTGAAATTCTGATTAAGAAACATGTATCAGAATGCTTGAATTCGTGCCTTGTCTAGTGGTCCATTGCCGTACCTTAATAAGCGTTACCAGTTATACAAAATTAGGAGGCCTTGGAGCTTATGGTATAAATTTAAGAACTGACTGAACTGTATGGGTGACTTTCCAACCGTAGGTGTACAAATATAATTTTTCTTGAGACTCAATACGGTAAAAATTGTATTCACTGCTTGTTATTTCGGAGTCCCTGAAAACCTTTCCGATCTCCTGTCCCTGTTGTTGGCCTCATAGACTTACTCTCAAAAAATTTTGAAGATGAAGATTCATGGGCTTAACATAAATACAACATTTGTATTCATACTATCGTATTTTTATAATTCAGCCAATTAAAGGAGGGGTCATTTTCACATTTGAAAGTCAAAAAATCATGTCATGTATTAAAATCAATTCCATGGCACCAATTGTATTCAAGCGCGTCTGTTTTCCTCTAATTTAGGGTAAATCAAATTATGCAACAATGCAACAACGAATAAAATCCATACGAGATAGATATGTAATATAGATCTGGAGGGGGTCCGTTTATGCAGATTAAAATGTGTGTTTTCTTACATCTCTCTGAGCAAACTTGAACGCAGGCGAATATGAAACAAAAGCCCGCGGACGAGATGCATAACTTTTAAAGTATGCGCGATACAGACCACGCAAATTAATTGTGCATTGATGAATGGATTTTAGACTCTGCTGATGTGCACAACGGGCTGTTTGTGCGATTTCACCTATTCACAGTTTTCTCGGTTGACTGATTAACTCGTAAGCGACGGACCTATCTCCCGTGCATGTCTTGGAGAATAATTTGCAGACTCTTTGAGTATTTTAAAAAAGTATAGATTGGAAAGAATGAGTTTACTGGTAGCCGTTATGGTTTACTATTTTTTAATGGAGGACTTGGTATGAGAGGTATGGAAGCAAGGATATGGTGAGGATACTACTTACGATTAAAACGTATTTAGCGTGAAGGGCCGGCTTCCACCGCTTCCACAAGTTCTTTGGATCTTTGAACGCAGTTAGCAAGTCTTCCATGAACTTAACCGTCACTTTCTCATTCTCTAAATGCAGCCCCGTGTAGTCACTTTCAATTGCTTGCAAATGAAAACAAAAAAACCGGGCGTTTGATCATATATTTCAAATATTTTATTTTGTTTGGGGGGGGGGGAGAGGGAGGATGTAATAATGGCAAAATCCTCTACTATGCAACTATAAAGTTTTTTCGATTTGATTTTGTCGTTCAATCGAAAAATCAAATATAATAATTATCAAAGAGGACGTTGAGAACAAGGGACTGTCCATACATTAGGTAACATTTTTCCGATTCCTCATTGTAACATGATCTTAACGCTGGTCCAGACGCCTTCAAAATAACTACGCGACATTTCTCTCAACACCCCGCCCCCTTCTTTCACACACACAAAAAAGAAAAAAAAAATGAAAAAGAAGAAGAAAACCAAAGAGAATTCTACGTTTATATGGCATCTATGAATCGGCGAGGCTAATAAATTAAAGTCAAATATAATTGGGAAAAGAATCACTATATCGATGACGTTGCAGACTTTCTGTTATACTTCCTGTTCATACTGGAATATGTTCTGACGTAACTGACTTAATTTCTTGAAAACATATTTTTCTTCTCTATTAACAGAATGCTCCCTAGAAATTTCAGCAATATAGTTGACAAGCTTCTCTTCGAAAAAATAAAATATATTGAAAGAAAATAAAAAAAAATATGTGTATTTAAGAAGAAATAGTTGAAAAAATCTTGTGAAAAATATCTGCGTAAGTGAAGGACGAAGACAATAAATGGTATCTCTCAGTAGACTACAGAGTCTATTTCCCAGCTTTTCTACAGTTGTAGTTATATCACATTTTGTATGACAAATATTAGACCCAGTAACAATTTAGGGGGACCCAGTTACCGGAACCGAAAAACTTATCATCATGAAAGTAACACTGTCCCTACGAATGCAACTAGACAAAAGGAAGGACCTGGGATTCTCTATGAGCATAGTGGAAAGGCAACGATTCAATTTCCTCGGTTTTGACTTGACGATCTGTTAAGTGTTAATCATCGTAACTCACAAGTTTATGTACTCCGTTGCTAAAATAAATAGGTACTTACTCATCATATTACTCAGTGCATCAAGATCAGGAGTCATAGTTGTGGTTCCGAATTCGGAAAGTCTCCAATCTGAAAGACCTCCTCTTGCCATTGTTTTTTCTGCGACTCTTCCTTCTGAATGGCTAATTTTACCATTAAGCCTCTTCTGCGAGATTCCATCTTTCTACGGAATATTATAGATTCCATAATAGAAAGATGTTGTGTTTTGTTTATCCACTGATGGCCATTTCAAAGGCAAAATCTTTCATCCTCAAAACTTTTCAAGGAAAAAGTTCTGGTCATCAGCAGATAAACGAAACACAACACCCTGGTAATCGGGAGGTAGGACGAAAAATCACATACTAATGGTAAATTATTTCGGGCCCAGTAACGATTCAGCAGTCGGGATCGAAGCACTGTTACCTAGCCCGAACTACATAAGGTGTTCAAAAAGTTTTGCACATTTCCGGATTTTGGGCGAACGAAAGCAGTTATCGATTTGCAGATTGTGTGTGCTTAAAGTAGAGTAATTACCAATAAAAAAAGACCGAGAACAGTTCTCTAGCTTAAAAAATAACAGAGATACAGGGTTTTGAAAATGACATGTAGCATAACCGCCTCCAGGATTTTTAGCTACACATATTATTTTGTCGAGAGTAAAAAAGTTGAATGAGAATTGAGTGTTTTTATTGAAAAAACTTACAAAATCTTAAGGAAATTGACGAACTTCTTATTGGTACAACTTGTTGGTAATTACATCTACTTTGAGCACACACAATCTGCAAATCGATAACTTTTTCTTTCGCTCAAAACCCGGAAATGTGCAAAACTTTTTGAACAACCTATGTAATTATTGTTACCACATAGGTAGGTAACATTGTAAAGTCTGCGCCATATAAGTTTGCGCACTTACAGAGTGCGACAGAAAATCAGCCGTTTCTATTTTATTGTTGGTAGTAAATATAATAATCAAAATGACAGATCTCCTGTCGCGCTCCAAAACTATTTTGACGAGGACTCTAAATAGGTACCACTAGAAAAAAGGTAGGACCTGAAATGTATCAGTGGCATTAGAAAGGCTATATTTTTTCTCCGTGTTTTCTCACAGAAGATGGATGATCACACAATGTAGAACGACCTTTGATTAAAGTCTATTAGTACCAGAAACTGTACACTTAGGTTTGTCTAACCCTCCCAAAGTTCCTAAAAAAGGTGACTGTCTCTGCCTTTCATCGAATCTATTAAAAGCTACATGAAAACTGGCAATATATTTCTACCCGGATTATGGCCAAAAATTCTATAAAATTGGAAGTGCTCTCTGATTTTGTTTAACCCTCGTAATTGATTATCTTACATTAAAACAGACTGATCATTTACAGTAAATTGGGTTCGGATGGTTCGGATAGTACGATACAAACTTACGGACAAGTCTTGAGTTGCTTTGTGAATGGGTAAGCAGGAAATAGGACAACTACCCAATCCGTGGCCTTCATTATTAGCCGATCCAACAGCATTCCAATTTTCGCTTCTTGGTGCTACCTCTGAAAAGTACAGCCTTCCTGGAGCTTTGACGGAACAGGCGACGGAACCCTCATCCGATGCAATGTACAGAAGAAAGAGCTGATAGATCAGAAGCTGGAGGAGAGTTTGTCTCTCCGCCATTGCTGAAAGATAAAAACGAAGATAGATGAGACCACTTTTTGACACGGTGGAATATAACAAACATTCTTCGAAATATTGAAATTGACCGCGAGAAATTAGATAAATATGAGAGTGATATGGATGAGCGTAAAATAAGAAATAGATCATCTACACTATCTATACTATAAGCTCCAAGGCCTCCTAATTTTGGACTGGTAACGCTTAGTTCCAGCGTTTTACCGGGCCGATTTTCATGATTTTTGTAGTTATCGACGGAAAATTGACTCTAGACGAGCCCGTTTTATTCAAATTTTCAAAATATGACCCAAGTTTTTTTATATTACATGGTAAAGTTGCAAATTCTCCCATTTAAACAATGTAAATTTATATTTTTTGTCATAGTTCGTTTGAGCGTTCTACTAGGCCCATTTCCATGATTATTGCGGTTATCGACAGGTGATAGGTCCTACATGAGCCCGCTTTAATCAGATTTTGAAAATAGGACCTAGGTTTTTTATCTCAGAGAAGACCAGGAAGCTTAAAAAGGGAGGCAACATTTGAAATTCCCGCCAATAAAAAAATGGCGGGAATTTTAAATTTAGCGGAAAATTGAACTAAGCGGGAAATGCAGAATCTTGGTCTGTTAGGTGGTAAGGAAGGTGAATAGAAGATATGCTCCTTTGGCAAAAGCGATGGAACGCTTTGTTCCGTTTCGTTTCAGTCTTTGCGAGAAGTTTGAAATAAATGCCTGTATTTCGATTCTTATTGGTTCAATCGCTCCCGGCCAGAGGAAGATTGGAGAAATGAGAGTCGAATATGAAAATCTTTTCATTTTTTGGTCGTTCTTTCGTCAAAGCGGGCCTAATACAGCGCGAAGCGCCCTCACGGGGATGGACCGCGTAGCGACCTGAGGGTATAGCCCCCTAGTTTATACTACCTGCCATTATCACATGATGTATATGAAATTTGCTGCAACTGAATATTAATACACAATTTTCATTCTAGATTTTACGCAAGGACATCATTAACTTTCCTTCGAGTTTGGAAGAATAATGAACGTGCATAGGTATTTCAATCTTAAACAAATTAAGGCGTGCAACGATATCATTTTATGAAATTTTAAAAATGACCATTTAACTACTTGTAAGTTCAACGTGGAATTGAATCTAGAAATAAGTTGAAGAAACGAACTGTTCAAGAAATTTTCAGCTCAAACTTTTTTCAGACCTGTGACTGATTTGCTTCTTTCAGAAAAACTTGACTCGTGAACTCGTTGGATGAGAGAGATTACAATACATGTTCTCACATTTTTTTATACTTTTCATTTAAAAGTGATATAATTTTTCGAGGATCTCAGTTTCACAAAACCACATGAAAATTAAAAATATATTTTATTCACACGCAAGAGGCAGGTGTTTAAAAAAGCTGAGGAGATTTTATACTTCCTTCAGCGACAGGATCTACTGTAGAAACTCAAACATGCTGTGAGCTATATGTAGTTGTTTTAAAAAAGGAACGGACCTATTGTCAGATGAGCCCTCCCATCCACGAGTACTATTATATCCAAAGGCTCATCTGGAAATGGGCATGTTCCTATTGTTCCTTCTTAGAAAATACTCCTTCAAATAAAACGTCGAGGGCTATCGGATGTATCTGATGATAACATCTCACGCTTTTCCATGAACATGATGTTGATCAATGATTGACGCAACAAATTATGTAACAGAACAATACTCAGCATCTAACCAAAAGAGACAACATGCAATGGTGCTGGAATTATCAACCTTCAATCATAACTGGTCTGTAAGCAGTGGGCAAGCTGATCACTGGAGAATTGGTCCGTGCCAATTGAGCGAGTTATCAATTTTCAGATCCTGTATAGCTTTAGCCAATTTGCTAATTGCTAATTGCTATTTGCTAATTTGTTCAAAGTGCATTTTCGAAAAATTTTACACCCATTTAAAAATTTTTAAATTCAAATTTCAAACATTTGCACTAAAATTTTGACGTCACCTTTTACGACAGTTTTGGCACTATCTCTTGAAACAAATTGACGTCACGAAAATTTTAAATTGTATCTAAAGTGAATTATTTGAATTTACTTGATTTGCCACTTATCTCCTCCTCTTCATGGAGTTATTTTAATCCCGTCGGGTGGATTATTATTTTGCTGTGCCTATTTTAAATTCCACAGGAGTCCTATAGTGATCTGATGCTTAACAGACTTAGATTTGCCCCGTCTATTACGTGGTTAAAACCGAAATCTTTTGGGAACTAATCATGAGAGAATTAATAAAAAAAAAAAACCAATATAAATAAATAAAGAAATGTCAATGCCTTAGAAATGGCCAGAGACATGAGGGGATTTTAGAGAAGGAATCCAAGGGATTTCCTGCTGAAAGTTGGCAATTGCGAATTGCAGACGCGACGACGATGCGTTGCCCTAAATCAAATTATATTTCCATTACCACTTCCCCGCTTTCCCCCTCTAAGAGCAAGGGGACTGGAGCGTTTACGGGTAGAATTCACGCACTGTTTATTTCGTCCCCCACGACTTCGCCAGTGGCGTGGCGTCAATTGCGATGTATCGATTGTTCTGCCATTTAAACCTATGGTAAAGAATCGATTATTAAGGTGTTCGCTGCGAACACCCTGTTTATCGATCCTTTTCCATAGGTTTAAATGGCATAACAATCGATACATCGCAAAGCACGCCACGCCACTGGACTTCGCCATTCCACCCCATGTTCACAACTTCACGCCGCTATGTCGCACTGGCTCAGAACCTGTGTCCTGTGACTAGCCCTCGTGGTTGGCATCCCGGTAATTTGTAAACACGTCCGATCGATAAAGTGTGAAATTAGCCAAATTCCTCCGGAACTTGACAACTCTGAGATCGGGCTTTGGAATTTTTGAGCGGAACCAATAAAACCCCTTCTCCGGGAATGTTCCTTCGAGGAAACTCTGTTCCTTTGAGGTTACTTTTCTGATGATTTTCAGGGTCGACTGCTTGTTTCTTCTGGATAAAAGCTCGCCAGTCGCACCACGTCGATGAATAATAAAAAAATAGAAAGACCTTGGAGGGGTTTCCGGAAATACGAATTCTCCTTCCATCGCTACTTCTTCCGTTTTTTTCTTATGGGGAGAAATTAAGTAACAAATTACACGAAATAATTACACTTTTCAAATCAAATTTTAACATTGTTTCCTTTTCTTGTTTCTGCAATTTTTTTTTTCTATGAATGCATTGATCACTCTCAGATGAAGCAATCAAATTCTTTCGAGCAAACTCTCCATTCATCAACTTATCCTTTCATCATTTTTAGCAGAGCGACATCCTACCCACGTAGCTATCACAGTATTACATCCAGGCAACTAGACTCTTTGCCTTTCACTATGGTCATGCTAAGGAAAAACGCCGTCTGAACATTTTACTGTTGTCAAACTTCTCCCGATGAAATATTTACTTAGGAGAAAATTGTGTATACTTTCCCTTGAAATTTACAGATACCCTAGGAGTAAAATAGTGTTGAAATTCTCTGAAAATTTTACAGAAAATAAAGTTTCGAAGTACTGAAAGTTTCCCGGAGATTTTACATTTCATCGAGGGAAATTTGGCACTGTCCAAAAGCTCATATGAAAGCCCGATTAAATTATTATTTAGGAGAATATTGAGTATACTTTTCCTTGAAATTTACAGATTACAGGAAAAAAATTCGCTTGGATCTAGAGTCCAGATTCTTAAAAACACTGACAAGGAAAAAAACACTCTTGATTTCATCTGATTTTCGCTTGAATCAAAAGGAAATCCGCTTGAATCAAGATGCTTGGATCTTCGATTCAAGAGGAAATCCGATTGAATCAAGAATATTTTTTTTGTCAGTGTTATTAAGAGTCTGGACTCTAGATTTGAGCGACTTTTTTTCCAGTGCATACCCCAGGAAGAAAATAGAGTTGAAATCCTCTGAAAATTTTACAGAAAATGAAGTTTTGAAGTATTGAAAGTTTCCCGGAAGTTTTGTACTTCACAGAGGGAAATTTGGCACTGCCTGACGGCTCATACGGCGTTTTTCCAGGGCACGACAGTCGAGCTCGTGACGTATAGTTTACAAACGGTGGCGTATATGTCTTCAGATGCTCGGAAAAGGCCGAACGAAATCCTCTTAACCCTTTGTTGCATGAGCTAATCGTTGATTTTGGAGAGAAAATCAACATTGTACAGTATTTTTTCGACACTAGAGTCGGTTGGAATCGATTTTTATGGTTTTTTCTGAGCAAGGTGATCAGACATATCGTCACCTTCCAGGCAAAGTATCACAAGCGCCATGCGACGTTTAAAAATTTCCGCCGCCATTTTATTTTTTTACAGAGAAATTGTTCAACGAAGCTGTCTGAAAATTTCACTGAATTTTCTTTGTGCTGCCGATAAAATTTAGTGAAATTTCCAAACAGATTCAACCAACAATTTCTCAGTAAAAAAATAAAATGGCGGCGGAAATTTTTAAACGTCGCATGG